GTGCCTGGTGGGGTGCTCTGCAGGCAGGCCCCCAGCTGCGGGCAGCGCTGTGTGGCACCCTGGAACTCGGCGGGGCCCAGGGACTGTGCCTTGGTGGCCAGCCCATTGGGCGGGACCCGTGGGCTCTGCGGTTCTGGCCATGGCGCCTGCCGGCGGCCTGCGGGCGCACCCCCATTGCAGCTGAGGTAGAGGTCCGTGCGCTCAGACTGGGGGCTCTGCAGGTACATGTCCGGGTCGGCAGTCCAGTGCTCCTCCCCCAGCAGCCCCAGGGACTGTGCCCGCCGCCGGTTGGTGGGGCTGTGCCCGCGAAGGGTGTTGGAGCTGATGACTGACAGCTTCTGGATGTCGTTGAGCAGCCCCGAGATGTAGCCGTCCGTGGGCACAGAGCTGCCCCGCACCACAGTCTGCAGGAGAGAGGAGAGCGTGGGTGAATGGCCGATTCGCGCCAGGGAGGGCAGCCTGGGACCAGGCCCGAGGGCCTCCCTGGGGGCCTTGAGGAGGAACACCTAAGGACCTTGCCTGCTGTGTCATCCACCCATTCCTTATATTTCCAGTCATTTACCCAGGCCCATGGCAGGTCAGGCCTGTGCTGGTGCAGAAATACAGGGAAAAGGCCCATTTTCATGGGGCTCGCACACAGGGCACACAGGTGAGTAATCACGATTACAATCCAGAATGCCAAATGGTGTGGGCAGCTGAGCGTGGGGAGCCGAGGGGAACCACGGGGACAGGGCCACCTACGATTCTCCGGCCCTCGGAGGAGGCAGGGACCAGGCCGGCGCCCTCCTCCGCACACACTGGCTTTGTGGCCTCTAAATCCTGACCGCAACCCCTCCCAGGTTCTCGGATCGACCCTCTTGACCCAGACCACTCAAACCCCCAGTCCCCCAGGGGCTGCAGGTCCAATATTGCCTGGGCACGCTGATACGAAAAGGCTGTTTGTTGTTATCTGACATTCCAATGTTCTTGGGCAGCCTGCATTTTATTTGCTATATTTGGCAGCCCAACCACCCTCTCGAGGACTCCCCAGGCTCCTCCTCCCTGGGTTACCCAGGGAGACACAGGGCTGATGAGCAGGGAATGAAAACAGCGGCTAATTGATAGCTGGTAATTAGGTGGTGCCTCCAGGTGCCTTTGTGGTTTGGCCAGACATGGGCATCTGCGGGGCCTCACTCTCCCGCCGCCCACCTTCCTTACCTTCATGGGCTGGAGCTGCACCCGCGTAATGCGCGAGGGGTCCACCACGGGCTTGGGGCGCCGGAGAGTGTCCAGGATGTTCTGCCATTGAGGGGGGAGGCCCACAAACTTGCCTTCTTTAGGGTCAAAGGAGGTGTGGACGCGGTGCTGGAAGTTCTGTGGGGCTGAGATCTCAGGGCGTTTCTTCTTTTTCTTGCGGAACATGGTGCCTGCATGGGAGGGGCAGGCTGAGCTCCGGCGGGGCTTCCAGGAGCCTGGGCCCGGGGAGCAGGGGTGGCTGCAGCGGGTGGTGGGGCACCAGGCTCTAGGCTCTCTCCCCCCAGCACATCTCCCCTGTCTGGGTCCAGGGCTTCCCCTCTCCCTCCTCTCTACTTCCTCAGGAAAGTGGCTAGTTCCCAGCAGAGGGTCCCACAAACAACAAAAGCACCATATTGAAGGCAACACAGACTAAAGAAAGCAGGTGTCTGTCTTCTGGTCTGTGCCACGTCCCATGTCGAGCAGGCAGACTCTGGCGGTGTGTTCTTATAAAACCCAAGCCCATTACTATTATCGTCCGCTGTCGAAGAATTAAACAGGGGGAAAGGGAGGGAAGCCGGCCACCCATTTTATGAAGTGAGCATGACCTTGACTCTTCAACCAGACAAGATTAGTACAAGAGGAGGAAAATGTAAACCAACCTCACCTAGGAACATGAATGTGAAAATCCTAAACAGAGCCAGCACGCTGAATCCAATACTTTGTTAAAGTTTGTTTGTTGGTTTGTTTTATGTTTTCTCACAATCAACTGGGGTTTGTCCCAGGATGGTTCAATGGCAGCAAACCTGTCCACGTGTTTAGACACAACGTTCACAAAAAGCCACCCCACCGAGTCGCAGACACGCTGCCCGTCTGGGACCCTCCTGTTCCCAGGCGCTCTGCCCTAATTCTGGAAAGCCCGGGGGGCGGAGGGGGGATATCTCAGGGCTAAAGCTCTCCGGGCAACAGAGAGCTCACCTCTGGACCTCTTTTCTGGGTCTCAGAACTCTGACTGCACAAAACATCACTTGCAGCCAACCCCGTCCCTCTCCCTGCTGATGTGGGGTTTTCTAAGGTCCTGGTGAGCTCCCTCACCAGCTCAGAGCGGTGTTGGTGTGCGGACTGGAGAGAGGGAGACTGGAAGCACTGCTCCAGCCTCACCTCAGGGAGTCCCTGATGGATCCTCACGTGATGTGAGTCAGGTGCCCACTGAATGCTTTTGTGTCTGAGGCAGCTCACTGGGTTTTTAAATTTTTCTTTATCGTGGTAAAATACACTCCATGGATTCGTAGGTTACCGGGAAAAGTCACTTCTAGGTTTCAAGAAACATGTTAGTTCCCTGAATGCTGGGGCCATTCATCTATCCATAGATCTGGGGTGTCTTCGGATCCTGGGGCATTTTCTCATGGCTGCTGCTCTGGACACAGCATTTTCCTGGGCACTTTAGCAGGTTCCAGAGTAGGTCACAGACCCGGGAGGCACTTGGCGCCCACTCAGAAAGGCTGCGGGCTCACAGCCACAGCTCCCCGACTAGAGTCCACCAGGCGAGAAACCATCCGAGTCCATGGCATATCCCTTGGAATGTCAGCCACTTTTCGGGACCTTAAGGTTCAAGAGTCCACCAAACACCCGCTACAGGCAAAGCCCCCTATGCAGGACCCCTAAGGACCAAGGACTTCAGAGGGACATGCACCTGTCTGAGTTGCAGGTGAGCTGTAGGGAGTCTCCCATTAACCTAAATGATTTGAGCCTCAGTGGTCTTCATCTATGAAATGGGGTTAATAAAATATATCTCAAGGGTTTGGGGAGCATTAAGTGAGCAGATCCCCAGTAAATGGGGGCTGTCCCTGTTGCTGTGTTACTTCTGTGTATCCCTGTCTCTGAGCTCAGGGCCCTACGGATGTGGGAACGTCAGCAGATACCAGTCTGGGAGCGATACCAGACCCCGACCTCAGATTCACCTGTCAAGTGCCCAGGCCAACTTCTGTGACCTCAGGCCCTCGACACTCTCCTCCTTCACTCTTGAAGGTTTGATAAAACTTGATCTCTTCTCTCTCAGCCTTTGGCCACAGAAGAGTCTTCATCCCTCAGTCTGTCCTCACAACATCTGACACAGACCTCTATCCTGGGCTTAGTTTAGCTGATGGTTTCTCCCTATACCCCAACTCTGTTAACTCCTCTGGAGATGCAGGGACACATCCGAGAGTTGAAGAAGAGCTGGGTAAGGGCCTGGCCAGGAAGCTCAGCTGGTTGGAGCATTGTCCTGATACACCAATGTTGTGGGTTCAATCCCCAGTCAGGGCACATACAAGAATCAACCAATGACTGCATGAATAAGTGGAACAACAGATTGATGTCTCTTTCTCCCCTCACCCCTTTCTCTATCTCTAGAAAACAATAATCCTATATAATAAAACCCTAATATGCAAATTGACTGAACAGCGGAATGACCAGTTGCTATGATGTGCACTGACCACCATGGGACAGACGCTCAATGCAGGAGCTGCCCCCTGGTGGTCAGTGCGCTCCCACAGGAGGAGTAACGCTCAGCCAGAAGCTGGGCTCATGGCTGGTGGCCGGCAAGTGCAGCGGCAGCGGTGGCAGGAGCCGCTCACACCTCCGCAACAGCGCTAAGAATCCCTCGGGGTACTCATGGCTGGTGGCCGGCAAGCGCAGCAGCAGCGGTGGCAGGAGCCGCTCGCACCTCCGCAACAGCGCTAAGAATCCCTCGGGGTCCTGGACTGCAAGAGGGCGCAAGCCAGACTAAGGGGCACCACCCCAGTGCACGAATGTCGTGCATCAGGCCTCTAGTAATCTTATCTAATAATAGACAAACATGGTAATTGACCATACCTTAGCTACACCTCCCATTGGCTAATCAGCATGATATGCAAATTAGCCACCAACAAAGATGGCCGCTAATTTGCATACTGCGGGCAGGGCGGGGCAGCGCCATCTCGCCTGCCCTGCTGCCATCTCGGCCTGCTATTTGTGACCTGGAGCGGTGGGGCGGGACAGTGCCATCCCACCTGCCCTGCCGTCATCCAGGCCTGCTATCTGCGACCCGGGGCAACCTGTGTCCCTGTGCAACCTGATCCAGGGCGGCTGGGAGGGGCAGCAGTGATAGGCTGGCCTGCCCAGGCATCCCATGTGCGACCCGACCCGAGGCGGCGCCCCAACCCCCGGATCAGACAAGTGGGGCTGAGGGATACCGCCCCACCCCCCGCCAGTGCACACATTTTTGGCCACTGGGCCTCTAGTAAAAATAACAAAAGGATAGAAGAGCTGGCTAATACTTCCTCCCCCCAATAACATCCCTCTCCCCAACTCCCTTGCCCAGCCCAAGGGCCCAGCTTTTGCAGGAGACAGAATTTTTAGCAAATCACCTAAATGACACTAGGATACCTGAGGCTACCCCAACAACGATTCCAGAACGTTCTCCACAGAGGCAGAAAGAAAGGCCTGAGAAAAGGACTCAACTGTTGAACACCCAGTTGGTATCCAAGCTGGAGAAATGGTCTCAGGAAGAACTCTCTCATTGGATTGAGAAGTGTTTCAAAGTGTATCAGAGGGAAAAAACCTCAGATACCATTAAAATCTCAAACACCAAGGAATAAATCTCATGAAAAATGTGCAAGTTTTCTACACTGAAAAGTATAAAATAATGAGAGATGTTGAAGGATGTTCATAAATTGAAAGACTCAATATTGTAAAGACGTCAATTATTCCCAATTAACCTACAGATTTATTTCAATCGCAATCAAAATCCCGGTGTATTTCTTTGGTGGAAATTGACAAATTGATTCTAAATGTATAGAGAAACATAAAGAACCAGGAATAGCCAGGATAATCTTTTAAAAAAAGTTTTTAAATTGATTTTAGAGAGAGGAAGGGAGAGGAGAGACAGAGAGAGAGAAACATCAACATGAGAGAGAAATATCGATCGGCTGCTTCCCACATTCACCCTGACTGCGGATTAAACCCACAACCTGGGTGTGTGCCCTGGTTGGGAACAGAACCCACCACCTTTTGGTGTGCAGGATGATGCACCAACCACTGAGCCACACTGGCCAGAGCCAAGACAATCTTGAACAAAGTCGGAGGCTCATGCTACTAGATACCAAGGTTTATTATAAAGCTATACTCATTAATGTAGTGTGGAATTGGCACACAGATTGATGACTAGACTAATGGACTAGAAGAAAGAATCCAGAAATAGACTCAGTCATATACGGTCACTTAATTTATGACAAAGGTGACACTGCAGTGCGGTGGAAACAGATGACCTTTCCCATAAATGTAGTGAAGCAATTAGATATCCATATGAAAATGAGTTCATATGATCCCTCAGAATTAACTGGATCTAAATGTGAAAGGTAAAATAATAAAGCTGGGGGGAGTGGTGGTGGGGACTGCAGAGGGGGCGCCCAATGTCTGGCCGCCCCCTGCCCCGGGGCCCCTGTGAGTGACTTCTTGGGACTCCTACCAGGTTTTCTTTGTCCAAAGCAGAATTTTTAAAAAATGTTGATAAGAATTTATTTGAGCCGAACTGACAACATCTGCTCGGGAGCAAGCTCTGACATGCTCCGGAGAACAAGAGTGTTGCCGTTTCTCTTAGGCGTTTGAAAGTGAGGAGGAAGCACTGGGAGGACCACATGAAGGTGGCCCTGGATTACAGGACAGTTAAGATGATGTGCTCCCAGGCTTAAAGGAGGGTCTGCAAGGGGCCATTTCAAAGGTGTGTTAGCCAAGATGCACAGAAACAATGCACAGGGCTTGCTGAAGGCAAAGATAAGCCTTTTACTAAAGAAGTTACAGGCCTGGCTGGCGTGTGACTCCCCACCATGACCTGCCCAGTTAGGATTTGATCATCAGATCACCCTGTAAGGTTACTTTCCACAAAAACCCTTTTTCTTCCACACCAAAGCAGAATCCTCAGTGTCACAGGTTAGCAGTTGGGCTTCTTTCTAAAGATTTCACCTAGGCCCTGGCCAGGTAGCTCAGTGGGTTAGAGTGTCAGCCCAATTCGCCAAGGTTGTGGGTTCCATCCTGGTCAGGGCACACACAAGAACCAACCAATGGATGCGTAAGTGGAACAACAAATCGATGTTTCTCTCTCACTCTCTTTTTTTCTCTCTCCCTTCATCTCTCTCTCTCTAAAATAAATAAATTAAAATTAATAAAAATTTCACCT